TGTGTGTGCGTCTCTGTCTGTGTGTGAATGAGTGTGTGTGGTCACGTGATGTGCATTTTCAGAGGTAGTGAGGAAGGAGGGCTGCTCAGAAATGCTACACGCCACTGTGGATGTGTGTAAACAGGGCCTGAGTGTGTACTTTTCGCGAGCGGATTTGCAACGAGGCGGGCGGAGGATCGCGATGCCGGTGTTGTCTATCGGACAAACCGTACGTAATACGTACATATCAGAGCTTGCAAAACTGTGTTTTTTTGTCGACAGCATGAACGTTGTCAACATAACTCACTGGAAATCCAAAATGCTTACACACCGGCGACTTCATGAAAGAGGAGAGGGTTTAAGCTCTGTCGACGGGTCTCCTGCTTCTGCAGTTTAACAAGCACTTCAACAAGTCTGTTTTTTTCCCGCTTGGCAAGCCAAGCTGACGTGACATGGGGGCGTGGCAGCATCGACGATTCTATTTTTTGATTCGATAATCGAAATTGAGCATACATTTCGATCGATTTCGATTAAAAATCGAAATCGTGACACCCCTAATTTTTCTCCGGTCTACCTCCAACAGGATCACCTCCAATTCACATTCTGTTCAAAGCTTCTCTTCTTGCTTGCTTTTGCCATTGCTTTTTCATTTGGTTTGGCAAAGTAGACTCATTACCACATTTAGAAGGGGGAGGAGGCAGTGCCCAGAGTGCGCGAATGGTCACGTGACATACGTTTTTGGTGGCGTAGTGTGGACGGAGATAAGTTCAGAAACGCTAGTGTGTACGCGGATCGCTTTTGATCTAAAACACCGTTTTAAAACTAAAACGCACCAGTGTAAACGGGGCCTAAACTGATTCATTCATTATATTGTCGGCTTAGTCCCTTTATTAATCCTGGGTCACCACAGCGGAATGAACCGCCAACTTATCCAGCAAGTTTTTACGCAGCGGATGCCCTTCCAGCTGCAACTCACACATTCACACACACATTCACACACACTATAGACAATTTAACCTACCCAATTCACCTGTACCACATGTCTTTGGACTGTGGGGGAAACCGGAGCACCCGGAGGAAACCCACGCGAAGGCAGGGAGAACATGCGACAGCACTACCTACTGCGCCACTGCCTTGCCTAAACTGATATACACATGTAGTGCAAATATAAAGTGTAGTGCAAATATAAATACTCTTTATTAACCATAGGCTGTTAAAGAAACAGCAACATGATGACGTCTGTAATATGCAACTTTTGACGGCTTTTCATTGAAAATGGTTGCCAACACTGCTTTCGGGCTCAGTCGAGTTTTGCACTCACACTAAAAGTTTACTGCGTCAAAGCCCAACCAACCCACGCTCTGGCACACCTCTTCCAACCAGGCCAGGGCCGGCCAACTGAACCCCGCCTGGGCCAGATTCTCACACACTCACACTTGTCAAACGAACCGAAAAATGTTCCTGGGCAGGGATCGGATACTGTGAGTGCACCCTTAGTAACTTCAGAACAGAGACAGGACCTTCAGGCACAACGATGATTTGGAGTATTTCTCTAAAGTTTGGTACTCCTCCTGTTGATCCAAAATGCAACAACATTCCAACGCAATACTCAGTACCTAAAATTTTAACTTAGTTTGTCATGTTCACGACTGCTGCCTGAGGAAACGTCTTTATAAATGACTTCTTAATGCTGTCTTTTAGAACCTCACTACCACTTGAGTTTATCTAGCACAGAAAGTTTTGAAACTTTGTTTGCATCATGGATGTGGTATGCAATCATGATTGGGTGTATTTGGCAATTGTTTTGAGAATGACTCAGTCTGGCTCATTTAAAAAAAAAAAAAAACGTTTGGCTTCAAATCGTATTGTCCAAAGAAACAATAGTGGTCCACAAGCAATTGTAATGCATGGATAATGCTCCAAAATGTGATGTTTTTGGCTTAATTTTTCCTCTGGGAACATATCCAAATACCCAGAACGATGTTCACTTATCTTGCTGTCCATGTATCCAGTGTCTCTTTTGTGTGAACAGGAGCCATGACAAGCTCAACAACATCTTTCAAGGTCATCAAAACCTGCCATGATGTGACATCTTCAGGCACTTTGTCACCAACCATTTAAGCTATCCATAGCAATCACCAATTCCCATGTGCATTGTCTCCTACACATTTACCTAATGCAAAAGTCAGGGTGACAGCTTGTAAGGAAATATATGGATTGAGAAGTTGAGTTCAAGAAGAGTAAAGTATTTCTTCTTTACAAGTGTCCTTATTTTCCTTAATTAAAATCTAACTGATTTTCATGGCTGGCATTTAACACCTGCCCGGCTAATATTTTCACCTGCCCATTTAGTTGTCGGGTTTGATTGTGAGTCAAATGAATGTCTGGAGGTTGTTGACATTGCACTGGAAAATGCTTTTGTGCTCACAGCCTCGATGTCCAAAATGAGGCTCATGAAATTCGCTGAAACTGAATTTTACATTGATGTTGTGATGATTAAATGAAATATGAGATGGCCCTGTTTATTTTATTTTAATGTGCATCTTATGTAATATTAAAAGAGCTCATAGCCTTTAAAAAGCCGATTTGATGCTTATTCAGATAAACCAAGACAGGTGACAGGTGAAGAAATTATTGGCAAATTTCATCATTCACATCGACTACCAAAGGTAAGGTAATGCTTGTCATTTCCCCCAAAATACATTAGGCACAATCAACCTTAAAATACAAGACTTTTGTTTTCTTGTGTGTAGGGTGTGAGATGGCTTTTCATCACAGGATCTCGTTGTTACTCATCTTCTCAAGTCCAGTTGGTAAATTGTTCTTGAGCTGCATCTGTTGAGATATAGAGCAAGGTTTATATATATATATATATATATATATATATATATATATATATATTTTATTTTATTTTTTTTTTTTACCGTAAACAGTAAAAGTTTATTAAGTGTTTAATGCAATTTAATTTGGAATATCTTTATCTGCTCTTACAGTTTTACCAGATTCATGTGACAGTCGGTGCCTGGCAAAAAAACTAATTGATAAGAAAGAGATGATTGCGCCACAGAACATTGACTGTTCTGTCACTGTAAACATCACATCAGTGCAGTACGAGACCCTGAGTTTTGTAAGTATCTTTTTTTTATGCTTGGAAAAACAAATGAAGTGTCATCTGAAATTTTCTTCTAACATGAGCATTTTTTTCTTGCTCCTTGGTTCAGTTATTCAACTTTCATGGTGATGAATGAGGTATTTTCTTTGCCTTTAATGTGAAATAACTGAACATAAATAAAGGAGGCTAAAAAAAAGGCTGATTTTAAGAAGGAAATGTCGGTCGGCACTCTTTAAATGTGATTTTAACATGAAATGTCATTGTAAACTATTTTAACTGCACTGAAAAATATACTTTTATTGTCAGGTAACAGCTTGAATATTTAGTGGATTTTCTGAAGTCATTACTTCATTATATTTTAGTATTAACACAAACGTTTTAGGATTGTGTGTTACATTTAATTTAAAGAACTTTGTTCTGCTAAATATTAAGTGAATTTTATTTATGAACTAATTTCGAGAGGATCATGTGCTTATTATTGTGACTGGTCCCGCGTTATTCAATTTAAGATTCACCAATCAGACGATTCCTAAACCACTATAAATACCCTAAGTTTCATTTGACAGCCATCTTCGTTTTGAAGAATCCCCCCTTCCACCCCTACACCACCTCCTTTCCTAGATGGGTGGCACGGTGGCCCAGTGGTTAGCACTATTGCATCACAGCAAGAACGTCACTGGTTTTAGTCCTTACCAAGCCTGCCGACATTTCTGTGCGGAGTTTACATGTTCTCCTCATGCTCACGTGGGTTTTTCCTGGGTTCCCCGGTTTCCTCCCACCATCCAAAAACATGCAACTTAAGTTAATTGACTAATCCAAATCGGCACCATAGACAAGCTCCTAGTAAGTAGTTATCCCTTAAAAGCAATCACTATCTGTTCATTAGCTACTACAGCAGGGGAGCTCTCGAGATCTACCTGAGCTCAAACTCCCGTATCGCCTTTCAAACGGCAGGGAGCCCCGGGCTCGGGGATCTTATGAGCTCAGGGCTCTCTCCCGGGACAGCATGCCAAACAAGCTTTATAATCGATCATCAGCTAAGTGTGAACTCTTGAAATGCACATGGCAATTTAAGCATTAAGTAAAATGTTCTACAATTCATACAATCGTTAAGGTCTTTTCAGGTCTAGGCTTTTAAAAACCAGTAGGCATCTTAGTGTCATGTCCATGGCGTGATTTTTGTACATGATGAATGCAATACTTTTATATTAGTTTATGTTGGTTATGTGGTGGATGTTGCATTCACACTCATTCTCTCTCGTTAACATCTTTGAATATTTGTGCTACATGACAATATAAAAGCTTTCTTTGTTCTTGTATATGAGATTTAAGATGTACGACTGTGTCTGTTCCGAAGCATTAAATAAGATATCATTCGCTACCTTTTTTTATGATGTGCTACTCGCATTGACTGGTGAAAATTCGATCTACCTGCTTACACTGCAGAAACAAGGACATGTATTCAATTCTTACCTGATGAATTTCCATATATGAACGAGGCCTGAATCTGATGAGTAAATCAAAATCCATATGATTTCTCCCCCTGCTTACACGTGCATGAGCCATATCCAATTTGTGCCACATGGGAGCGAAAAAAATTTTTATTGGACCACTTGAACCATGCAGTGTACATGCAACCTTTGAGAAAGGTTATTGAAACCTTAATAAAGCTATTGTTAAAGCATCAAACATCATGAATGAAATGCTTGTGTTCTGAAGAAAATTGGATTTTTAAAACACAAAGAATGTAAGTTTTACAAGTATTATTGCTACATTGGAACTAGATTATATAAATTTGTAATTCAACACTGCTGCAGCTATATTTTACTTTATATACATTTAAAAATTACTAATATATATAGTTTTTTTGCCTTTCCCACATATGCCTCCATGTAAGAATACTAAGGAAATGCAAATGAGCAGCCGTATCTTGGTAAAAATGATAAGCAGATCATAATTTTTTACAATTATTTCATTTCCAATGGTCACCACAGTGTTGCCTCTATTTTTACAAGTAACTTTTTTCTCCAAAGAGGTGGATAGATCCTGAACTTGCCTGGAATGACACGATATCTAGTGCTACATCTGTTATGTTGCCAGTTCACAAAATCTGGACCCCTGGACTAGTTTTGGACAATGTGTAAGTGAACGAATTATGTTTGTGACAGGGCATTGTTATTTTTAACTTAGAAAATAAAAAAACACAGTTTTTTCAATGTATTGTGTTAGAAGGTCCTATATGAAAATTTGCTTTGTTAGATAATTCAATTCAATTCAGCTTTATTTGTATAGCGCTTTTACAATGTATATTGTGTCAAAGCAGCTTCACATATATGGAAATTGGAACAGTGTAGTTCAGTATTTTGGTGTTTAAGTTCAGTTCAGTTCAGCTCAGTTCAGTGTGGTTTAAAAATCACTACTGATAGACCTGAAACTGAAGAGCAAACTCATCGATGCGTAGTTCTACCGATCCCAAACCATGCAAGCTAGAGGCGACAGTGACGAGGGAAAAAAAGACTGCGCCAATTGGCGAAAGTGAAGAAAAAAAAAAAACCTTGAGAGAAACCAGACTCTGTTGGGCACGACCATTTTAATTTCTCCTCTGGCCAAACGTCTTGTGCAGAGCTGCAGTTTGCATAATTAAGCTATGCAGTATGCAAATTTACACAATGGCAAAATAAATACGCTGCATTTCAGCCACTATCTTTTTTGTTGCCATTGTATTGTATTCTTCTAGAGTCCATTCACACATAAATGATTGAGAGCTCATTTTTATGTGATGATGATCAAATTTTTGTTGTTCAGATAAGACATGTCTACACTGGCACATCTTCATTGTCCTTCAGTCTGACATTTGAACAAATTGGATCCTGCAGTGTGACATGGGGACCATATTTGTGCAGTCTAACAAGCTACATTTTTTTTAGGATTAGGAAAAGTCACAAAGTGTGAGCCAGGCTTAAGGCTCCAATTATTTAAAGGGAAAAATAAATTAAATGTTGTTGCCACTTATGGCTGAGCTCTGGATGGAGGGATTTTGAGCCATTCGTCTTGCAGAATAGTGCCTAGGTCACTACATGATGCTGGTGGAGGAAAACATTTCCTGACTTGCTACTCCAAAACACCCCAAAAGTGTCTCAATAATATTTACATCTGGCACCGCCTTCAGGATACATTGTTTAAACCATTGGGTGCACATGGTCTTCCAGAATGGTTTGGTAGTCCTTGGCAGTGCCAAATATTAAAAGTAAAAACGGAATTTGCTGCAGTTGGAGAAGCTTCGTGAATCTTTTCTTTATTTAATAAATTACTTGCGACTCAGAAGACAAATGTCAACATGCAATAAATGCGTGGTGGCATTTGAAGGTGTGACAATTTGGAGGTCATTATATTTAAGACTATTACTGAAATAGTTAAACGTTTATAATGACAAAAACAACATCTTAGATGTTTTACAAAGTGCTCAGCCTGCTGGTTTGTCCATTCACACACATTTTCATTATCACATGATCTCTTATAACAAAATCACGTGACTTTTTTTTAAAAATGCGCATACTGGAACTTGTTCAATAAAAGTGTTTCCATCGTAGTTTATGCACAATTTTTTCTCATAGAATTACAGTTTATCCTACTGTTATTCGCATATGTTTTTTTTATGTGCATTTTTAAAACTTATCTGCATCTTGCCATTTCCCTCAATCATTTTATATGCACAAAATGTGCATAAAAATAGGTGGATGGAAACACAGATAATGTTTGGAACCTTGCATGCACAGAAACCTAGCCCCGATCAACGAGTTTCTGTATCACCATACAGGCTCATTTGATTATAAAGTGATTATTTTGGTGATTTTGATTTCAAAGTGTTTAACATAGCAGCTGTATGAATGTGCAGCTTTGCTTTGACCACACTGTAAAAACACATAAATATTTTGAATATCTAAAACAATTTAAAATTCAAAACGCATTGCTGGTCATCAGGGAGCATATTAATCTAAGCACAAACAAGAACAAGGATGGTAAAAAACCCTGATATAGATAAACTGAATATGAAGTGTTTGAAGCTATATATAAGATAACTGGGCTAATGATGACACCATTCCCTGCAGGCACAGGACGTCAACATGGCGTCATATTGACTTTTTACCTCAACCTACCCCCAACATTGTGGAGACGTTAGATTTTATTTATTTTTTTTTTTTTGGAAATGAAAATTGAGTTGGCATCAGAACCCAACATCAGGTCGACGTCAATGTCCAACCTAAAATCAACCAAATATCAACGCCTATTCATGTTACCTCTGCTGAAAAATCCAGCTTAAAGCAGCCTAGGCTGGTTTTAGCTGGTTGACCAGCCTGGTTTTAGAGGGGTTTTGGCCATTTCCAGGCTGGTTTCCAGCCATTTCCAGCCTGGTCTAAGCTGGAAACTGGATTTTTCAGTAGGGACACCTTCACGATGTGTGGACGTTACCATTATGACATCTATCAGATGTTGGATTTTGGTCACTTTCCAACACAACCTAAAATTAACCAAATATCAACGTAATTTGACGTCGTTATTTGACGTCAAAATAACGTTGGCATTATGCTGTCTAGACATTGAATTTTGGTCAACTGACGTCATGACCTAAATCTAACCTAATATAATTGTCTTGATGATGTGTGCCTGCTGGGTTAACACAGATTAATAAGTATGCTAACTTTAGGAGGTGGTTCACAGCTTTGGTGACAATGTCATGTTATATCTCTTTTTGCCATCAGGATAGATGTAACCACAAAGACCTACACAGATGACGTAGCAGTGATGAAAAATGGAACTGTGAACTATGCTGTTGTCTTGTTTATAGCAGTGAGCAGTGAAATCAGCCTTTTCACCTACCCCTTTGTGACAGGGAATTGTGATGTCGCTATCAATGGGTGGAACCAAAGTGGTAGGAAAACAATTTTGACTATACACTGTTACTGATCGTTTTGCTCTCAACCAGGGACATTATTTCTCAATATTTTATTTTTAATAGCATGAAAAGTAATTGTATCTACTAAATCATTTTTGTGTGTTTATTTAGATTGTGTCCTTTCACTTGAATACCCTAAAAATGCCAATATGTTTGGATCGAGTCAGTGTGGTGAGTGGAACACGGAAAGTGTGGAAATAAAGTCTTATCCAAATGGTTCTTCTCGCAACTATCTCTCGGTAATGATGACTTGATTATAATTATATAAAAATAATTAATTATATATATATATATATATATATATATATATATATATATATATATATATTTTTTTTTTTTTTTTTTTTTTTTTTTTTNTGAGGTGTAAAAGTATTTATTACATGAAAAACTTAGGTTAAATTAGATTAAAGAGCCCCTATTATACATTAAAAAGGGTCATATTTTTGGTTTTAAAGGTCTCCAACAACAGACTGATATGCATGCAAGGTCAAAAAAACACTTTAATTGTCTTATAATATGCATTTATTTTTAACTAATTATCCCAGCGATTCCCATAACAATCAAGACGATTCACCAGCGATTCATTTGTTCCCAAACCCCTCCTTAGCGTGAATCTAATCTGCGCGGATTCGACTGATGACAGCCTGTTGCAATTGGTCGAAAGCATTCAGCGCGAGACAATGGTCATCATGGCTTATCAACAATATTGAAGTAGTGAGAGTGCATAGTGTATGTGTGAGCATACCTGCCAACACTCCTGTTTATCCTTGGAGTCTCCCGTATTTCAGACCCATCTTCCGCTATCCTCCTGTATTGTTATTTATCCTGGAAAAATCTGTGAAACGCAGTGAAATGAGAGCTCACAAACACATTTAAATCCGTAAACAAAGCGGCTTTTCCAACGTGGCATTAGATGCGATATGAGAATATTAAGTGTTAACCAGATACAGTACAAGTGGTTACAATTAACAAAACAAAATTAAATACTTAATTTGCAAGCTAGAGAAAACATGGAGGCAACAATTTTAATCACACTTACACTTGTGAAATGAAATGGAGGAAGAAGCTGGTCCATGAACTGTGTACTGATAAAGTTCCTCTCGAGCTCTGACAAAGTCCCACACATCAATAGTATTTTCTGATCCTTCCTTTAACAATATATGTATATATATATATATATATATATATATATATAATGCTGAGGTATTTTTGCAAAAATAAACCTCAACCACTGACCCTCTCAAAGTTTCATCTTCATCATCATTTAATACTGTAAATTCACTAGTGTTGATCCTGGACCATCATCATCATTTAATACAGTAAATTCACCAGTGTTGATCCTGGACCATCTTCATCATTTTAATACAGTAAATTCACTAGTGTTGATCCTGGACCATCTTCATCATTTAACACAGTAAATTCACTAGTGTTGATCCTGGACCATCATCATCATTTAATACAGTAAATTCACTATGTTGATCCTGGACCATCATCATCATTTATTACAGTAAATTCACTAGTGTTGATCCTGGACCATCATCATCATTTATTACAGTAAATTCACTAGTGTTGATCCTGGACCATCTTCATCATTTAATACAGTAAATTCACTAGTGTTGATCCTGGACCATCATCATCATCATTTAATACAGTAAATTCACTAATGTTGATCCTGGACCATCTTCATCATTTAATACAGTAAATTCACAAATGTTGATCCTGGACCATCATCATCATTTAATACAGTAAATTCACTAGTGTTGATCCTGGACCATCTTCATCATTTAATACAGTAAATTCACTAGTGTTGATCCTGGACCATCTTCATCATTTAATACAGTAAATTCACTAGTGTTGATCCTGGACCATCTTCATCATGTAATACAGTAAATTCACTAGTGTTGATCCTGGACCATCATCATCATTTTAATACTGTAAATTCACTAGTGTTGATCCTGGACCATCTTCATCATTTAATACAGTAAATTCACTAGTGTTGATCCTGGACCATCTTCATCATGTAATACAGTAAATTCACTAGTGTTGATCCTGGACCATCATCATCATTTTAATACTGTTAATTCACTAGTGTTGATCCTGGACCATCATCATCATTTTAATACTGTTAATTCACTAGTGTTGATCCTGGACCATCATCATCATTTAATACAGTAAATTCACTAGTGTTGATCCTGGACCATCATCATCATTTAATACAGTAAATTCACTAGTGTTGATCCTGGACCATCTTCATCATTTAATACAGTAAATTCACTAGTGTTGATCCTGGACCATCATCATCATCATTTAATACAGTAAATTCACTAGTGTTGATCCTGGACCATCTTCATCATTTAATACAGTAAATTCACTAGTGTTGATCCTGGACCATCATCATCATTTAATACAGTAAATTCACTAGTGTTGATCCTGGACCATCATCATCATTTAATACAGTAAATTTACTAGTTTTGATCCTGGACCATCATCATCATTTAATACAGTAAATTCACTAGTGTTGATCCTGGACCATCTTCATCATTTAATACAGTAAATTCACTAGTGTTGATCCTGGACCATCTTCATCATTTAACACAGTAAATTCACTAGTGTTGATCCTGGACCATCTTCATCATTTAACACAGTAAATTCACTAGTGTTGATCCTGGACCATCTTCATCATTTAATACAGTAAATTCACTATGTTGATCCTGGACCATCATCATCATTTATTACAGTAAATTCACTAGTGTTGATCCTGGACCATCATCATCATTTATTACAGTAAATTCACTAGTGTTGATCCTGGACCATCTTCATCATTTAATACAGTAAATTCACTAGTGTTGATCCTGGACCATCATCATCATCATTTAATACAGTAAATTCACTAATGTTGATCCTGGACCATCTTCATCATTTAATACAGTAAATTCACAAATGTTGATCCTGGACCATCATCATCATTTAATACAGTAAATTCACTAGTGTTGATCCTGGACCATCTTCATCATTCAATACAGTAAATTCACTAGTGTTGATCCTGGACCATCTTCATCATTTTAATACAGTAAATTCACTAGTGTTGATCCTGGACCATCATCATCATTTTAATACTGTAAATTCACTAGTGTTGATCCTGGACCATCTTCATCATTTAATACAGTAAATTCACTAGTGTTGATCCTGGACCATCTTCATCATGTAATACAGTAAATTCACTAGTGTTGATCCTGGACCATCATCATCATTTTAATACTGTTAATTCACTAGTGTTGATCCTGGACCATCATCATCATTTTAATACTGTTAATTCACTAGTGTTGATCCTGGACCATCATCATCATTTAATACAGTTAATTCACTAGTGTTGATCCTGGACCATCATCATCATTTAATACAGTTAATTCACTAGTGTTGATCCTGGACCATCATCATCATTTAATACAGTAAATTCACTAGTGTTGATCCTGGACCATCTTCATCATTTAATACAGTAAATTCACTAGTGTTGATCCTGGACCATCATCATCATTTAATACAGTAAATTCACTAGTGTTGATCCTGGACCATCTTCATCATTTAATACAGTAAATTCACTAGTGTTGATCCTGGACCATCTTCATCATTTAATACAGTAAATTCACTAGTGTTGATCCTGGACCATCATCATCATCATTTAATACAGTAAATTCACTAGTGTTGATCCTGGACCATCTTCATCATTTAATACAGTAAATTCATTAGTGTTGATCCTGGACCATCATCATCATTTAATACAGTAAATTCACTAGTGTTGATCCTGGACCATCATCATCATTTAATACAGTAAATTCACTAGTGTTGATCCTGGACCATCATCATCATTTAATACAGTAAATTTACTAGTGTTGATCCTGGACCATCATCATCATTTAATACAGTAAATTCACTAGTGTTGATCCTGGACCATCATCATCATTTTAATACTGTAAATTCACTAGTGTTGATCCTGGACCATCATCATCATTTAATACAGTAAATTCACTAGTGTTGATCCTGGACCATCTTCATCATTTAATACAGTAAATTCACTAGTGTTGATCCTGGACCATCTTCATCATTTTAATACATTAAATTCACTAGTGTTGATCCTGGACCATCATCATCATTTAATACTGTAAATTCACTAGTGTTGATCCTGGACCATCTTCATCATTTAATACAGTAAATTCACTAGTGTTGATCCTGGACCATCTTCATCATGTAATACAGTAAATTCACTAGTGTTGATCCTGGACCATCTTCATCATTTTAATACAGTAAACTCACTAGTGTTGATCCTGGACCATCTTCATCATTTAATACAGTAAATTCACTAGTGTTGATCCTGGACCATCTTCATCATTTTAATACAGTAAAATCACTAGTGTTGATCCTGGACCATCATCATCATCATTTAATACAGTAAATTCACTAGTGTTGATCCTGGACCATCTTCATCATTTTAATACAGTAAAATCACTAGTGTTGATCCTGGACCATCATCATCATCATTTAATACAGTAAATTCACTAGTGTTGATCCTGGACCATCTTCATCATTTAATACAGTAAATTTACTAGTGTTGATCCTGGACCATCATCATCATTTTAATACTGTAAACTCACTAGTGTTGATTCTGGACCATCTTCATCATTTTAATACAGTAAACTCACTAGTGTTGATCCTGGACCATCATCATCATTTAATACAGTTAATTTACTAGTGTTGATCCTGGACCATCTTCATCATGATTTTAATACAGTAAATTCACTAGTGTTGATCCTGGACCATCATCATCATTTTAATACAGTAAATTCACTAGTGTTGATCCTGGACCATCTTCATCATTTTAATACTGTAAACTCACTAGTGTTGATTCTGGACCATCTTCATCATTTTAATACAGTAAACTCACTAGTGTTGATCCTGGACCATCATCATCATTTAATACAGTAAATTCACTAGTGTTGATCCTGGACCATCATCATCATTTAATACAGTTAATTCACTAGTGTTGATCCTGGACCATCTTCATCATTTAATACAGTAAATTCACTAGTGTTGATCCTGGACCATCTTCATCATGATTTTAATACAGTAAATTCACTAGTGTTGATCCTGGACCATCATCATCATTTTAATACAGTAAATTCACTAGTGTTGATCCTGGACCATCTTCATCATTTAATACAGTAAATTCACTAGTGTTGATCCT